CAAAATAACCTTGGTACCTAAGCCTCACAGAAACACAATTAAGAATGAAAACTACAAACCAATATTCCTCATAAATATCGAAGCAATAATACTCAATAAAATACTGGTAAACCGAGTCCAAGAATACATCAGAGAAATCATCCACCATGACCAAGTAGGCTTCATCCCTGGAATGCAGGGATGGTTTAACATACACAAATCTATCAACGTGATCTACCATATAAACAAACTGAAAATGAAAAACCATATGATCATCTCCCTAGATGCTGAAAAAGCCTTCGACAAAATTCAACACCCTTTCATGATAAAGGTCTTGGAGAGATAAGGGATAACAGAGACATACATAAACATAATAAGAGCAATATACAGCAAGTCAACAGCCAACATCAAACTGAATGGACAAAAGATTAAGACAATTCCTCTAAAATCAGGAACAAGACAAGGCTGCCCTCTCTCTCCATATATCTTCAATATTATACTTAAAGTTCTAGATAAAGCTATAAGAACAAAAGGAAATCAAGGGAATCCAAATTGGAAAGGAAGAAGTCAAACAGTCTCTATTTGCATATGATATGATAGATTACATAATCGACCCAATAAACTCTACCAGGGAAAGCCTACAGCTGATAAACACCTTTAGCAAAGCAGCAGGATACAAGATAAACTCAGAAAAATCAGTAGCCCTACTATATTCAGACCACAAGGAGGCTAAGAAGAAATCAGTGAAACATCACCCTTTACAATAGCCACAAACAACATAAAGTATCTTGGGGTAACGCTTACCAAACAAGTGAAAGACTTATATAATAAGAATTTTGTGGCGCTAAAGAAAGAAATTAAAGAAGATACCAGAACAAGGAAAGATCTTCCATGCTCTTGGATAGGTACAATAAATACAGTAAAAATGGCAATCTTGCCTAAAGCAATCTACAAATTCAATGCAATCCCCATTAAAATTCCACCACAATTGGTCACTGACCTTGAAAGGATAATAATCAACTTTATATGGAAAAACAAAAGACCCAGGATAGCCAAAACAACCCTATACAATAAATGAACTTCAGGAGGCATCACCATTCCTGATTTTAATCTCTACTACAGAGCTATAGTTCTGAAAACAGCCTGGTATTGGCATAAAAATAGACAGGTAGGCCAATGGAATCGAATTGAAAATCCTGATATTAATCCACGCACCTATGAACACCTGATTTTCGACTAAACAGCTAAAATTATACAATGGAGCAAAGACAGCATCTTCAACAAATGGTGCTGGCACAATTGGATGAGGGTGTGTAGAAGACTGCAGATAGACCCATGTCTGTCGCCATGCAAAAGGTCCACATCCGTGCAACACAGACATCTGCTCAACTATGTTCATAGCACCATTATTTGTAATAACAAGAAGCTGGAAGCAACCTAGATGCCCCTCAACTGAAGAATGGATAAAGAAGATGTGGCACATCTACACAATGGAGTACTACTATGCAGAAAAAATAATGGTATCTTGAAATTTGCAGGCAAGTGGATGGCACTAGAAAAAAAAAAAAAAACAAAAAAACATCCTCAATGAGTAACCCAGGCAAAGTAAGAGGAAAATGGTATGTTTCATTTATATATGGATTTTAGACCTAGATCAAAGGATCGCCAGCCTATAATTCACACCAACAGAATATAAGGTGTTTTCTAATAGATTCATATAAAGTCCCCCACAGAAGGGGGAAGGGACAAGTCTTCCAGAGCACATGGGAAGTGGTGGTGACAGTGAATGTATATCGAAGTAGGAGAAAGAGAAGGGGAGGAGAGGAAAGCACATGCGACATATGAAGAGGGAGAATGAGCCAGAGAGAGAAAGAGAGAGAGAGAGAGAGAACATAACAGAGGGAGCTATGATTGGATTGAAGAGAAAACTGAACCTAAAGAAAGGTATAGAGAAATACAAGACTACTGCCAACTAATAATTTGATCAACCATGGAAAGGCTAATAAATGCCCTTCCCTGATAGTGAAATCAACAACTAACTTATCTACCACCATGGAGCCCTCATCTAGTACCTGTTGGAAACAATAGGAAACACCCATAACTAAATACTGAGATGAAGTAGAATCCAGATGCAGAGCGAGAGGACAAGACCAGGTTGCAGAAACACATATAGACAGCTGGCCTGAAGGAGGAGGAGCTAATGGGCCACCAGACTGATAGCTGGGAAGCCAGCATGGGACTGACTCAGGCCCCCCTGAATATGGGTCTCTGCTACAAGGCCTGAGCAAACTAAGGGTCCTCATACAGATGAAGCAACATGTATTCCTGGTGTAGAAAAGGACCTTGAGAACACATCTCCCATGGAGAGATACTGCCTTAACCTACAGACAAGGGAGAAGTCCTAGTCTGTACTTCAAATTACCTGCCAGATCTACAAGACCCCACCTGGATAGCATTGCCTTATATGTGGAATTGGGGATGGGGGGAGTGTGTTCAGATGCTTGTGAGGGGGCAGAGATGGTAAGATGGATAAGGGAGGGAGGGTGGGTGGGCAGGAGATGTAACTGGGATTAACATGTAAAATACATAAATAAATAAATAAACAAATAAATAAATAAGTAAATAAAAAGAATGTCTTCTTTTAACCTGGATTGATGTGGAGGACCATATTGATGCTGTGAATTTTGAACCCTCAGATTTTCAAGAGTTTAATTCACCCGAGGAAACAGTGCCCTCAGCCCCACTGCTTTTTCACCTTACACTGGAAAAATAACAATGTCCCTCAAGGCCCACCAATAGATGCCTATAGAACTATAACCAGAATCAAGGGAAAGCAGGCTCCTAGAAGTAAAGTACAAAGTGTATTCCATAGGGAATAATGCTATACTACTAAGGTGCTTAGTAATTTTGCTAATTCATTCAAGCACACATCTGAGGAATATGTGTGGTAATGGATTTAAAGGGTTTGGGATATGGTGGAAGGACTGGAAAACAAGAGCACGCTGAGTTTATTGATATGGGCACTCTGAGTAGAGATTCTAGGTTTAAATGGAAGACCATACAATTTTTAAATAAAGTTGTCAACGGATTGTTTGAATGGTTGGCTGAAGTAATAATAAGAGATGGCCTATTGAAAATGAGTTGGAGGTGCCTGATATCCCTTGGATTAATGTTGGTGAAGGGATTTTAAGTTTGATTATAGTCAGACACAGGCTGTGAAGGAAACTATCAAAAGCAGAAAGATGGTGAAGATATGATTGAACAAAGTGGTCTTGTTCCAGTCCCAGCAGGCAGCAGAACTTGGCAGGTTTGGCTGTGTGGTAATGGCTTTAGAGTCAAGGAAAAAAGAAAGGGTTATGGAGTGTTGCTCAATGACTAAAGAAAGCTACTGAGGCCAGGCTTGTTTCAGGGGTATCCCCAAATGACCCAGAAAGGTCATTGTATTGCCTTGGAGGACCCATGATGTTAGAGATTGCAGAATTTTGAGATTACGGTCAAGGAAATTTGCTAAGAAGAATTGGAACCAGGCCAAGAGAAAGAAGTGTGTTGTAGCCAAAAATCTGAAAAGAATGGGGATTTGAAGATAATTTTAACAACTGACTTGGAGATGCAGGGTGTGAAGTTTGTGATCAGTCTTGTTTTGATCATGTATTTCCCCAATATGCTCCCTTTCCTACACTTAGGAATGGCAATGTATATCCTGTGACATTATAAGTTGGAAGTATATGATCTGTTTTTAGTTATATTTTTTATTTTTATTTTTATTGGTGATTACAGTTAAGGGGTTGCATGAATCTGACAAAAGATTTTGATCATTGGACTTTCAAATAATGTTGAGACTATGATAGACAATGGGGAATTTTGAAATTAGAGTAAATGCATTTTGTTATGATATTGTTACAAGTTTATGGGTACCATAGAGAGGAATGTGGTAGTTTGAATGTAATTGGTCTAAATAAAACATATGGAGTTACAATATTAGGAGGTGTAGCCTTGTTGGAGTGTGTATATACCCTTGTTGGAGGAACTGTGTCACTGTGGAGGTAGGTCTTATATATGTTCAAGCCATGCCCAGTGGCTCAGTTCACTTCATGTTGTCTTTACAAGATGGAGAACTCTTAGATACCTGTCTTAGCACCATGTCTGTCTGCAAAGACACCATGTCCCACCAGGATGAAAATGGATTGAACATTTGATCTGCCAGATACCCAATCAAATAATTTCCTATGTAAGAGTTGCCATGGTCATGTGGTAACTTCTCATAAATAGAAACCCTAAATAAGACAGGTGTATTCACATATGACAAAAGCCTGGTAATAAGCATAAATAAAATCTCTGGAATGACAATCAATTTATGGTCTATGAATAAACATGTCCAAAAGGGGTTGATATAAGGAGAGGGAGGAAAAGGATTAATTATGTTCTTTTATTCATTCCACTAACAATGTAAAAAGTGGATTTTTACAAAATATTAATAAGATGAAATAAGTTCAGGATTATAAAAAGTAGTTTTTTGAAGAAGTTATATCTGTAGTAGTCTTTAGACTGCTTGACCTTGCCTAATTAAACTATCACCTTTGTTAGTTGCAATGCTAATGTTTATGAAGGAGAATTATCTTGAAATGTGTTAGCAGCATTAGTAGCCATTTGTTTTTGTGTTTATATTTGACTTAGTATCCTTATATCTAATATATAAAACTCTTATAATGAATTGTTATATTTAGTACAATGTAGACTGAAGCATTTAAGTAAAGAATGCTAGAGCATCTATATATACAATAAAAGATTTTTCACACTTTCCTGGAGCCTGCTTTCCCAAATCACCTTACTAATATACTTTGGGATTACATTAATTTTTGAATAGATAATCATTCTTATTGCAGAATACTATTTCTTAGAATTTTACCTTTCTATGTGTTCACTCATTTTTAACTGTAATGTTTGGTAAAGGAATTTCCCCTCAAGTTTTCCACATGGCCTCTTATTAGTTATTGTCAGGTTCTAGTTCTAATTCTTGTTACCTGCTTGGGTGCTTGGCAGTTGTTTCTGGGGAGGCTGGTCTCCTAGGAAAGCAAAGTGAAGAGAATATCCCTGAATTAATAATTTGTAACCACTCTCTCAGGCATAGAACTATTTTATATTAATATAAAACAAAAGGAGATCAACAAGATAAACTCCCTTAATAAAACATTTACTAAAAATAAAAACACATCACATGTAAACATATAGTTATAGTATATTTGAAGATATTACTAGCTATGAAATTACAGTCCTAGTATTACACACTAAACAAACAGGAATGAAAACAAAATTGAAAAGTAATTTCACCAAAAAGTATTTAGTCACATACTTATTATCCTTATTAATATTTGATAGTACTTATGTACCAATATTCATGTTAATCTAATTTATACCTTCCTGACCACAATTATAGAAGAGACATGTTTCATGAAACCAATAACCAATATATTAATAATAAAAGCATGGTTTACATCAAAGACACATTAACCACAAATAAACACTGTTCTCTTCTATTATGCTGCTGCCTTTAATATCTGTAATACTGATAGATATTCCAATCAAAATATGACTGATTACCTGTTACAATTTGAGGGTTAACTTCTAGAGATTGAGTCTGGATAGCTGTGGGCTCTGGAATCTGAGGGATATATATTTTCCTAGGTATATTGAAATGTGCAGGAAGGCTCAGTTCTGTTGTATATAAAATGGATTTAGGCTTTTTCAACTTCGACATATTAAAGAGCAGAAGACACTGTAAATGAACCATGAAATCGTATTATAATTTTCTTAACATTTACCTTCAAAACTCAGGGTAGCATTATATGCTAAGATTAAACACATGAAGAAAACACATAAAACACAAAAATTAATTTATTTCTTTAGAGGTGTTATCAACAAAATTTGTAGAAGTTATCACTAACCCATACAAATTAGCAATGTTGTCATCTTTAAGAGTGACCGACATTTCTTTTTCTAATGCTTATAGTAGCCAATAACTTCTCTTGCAGGGAAAATATTGAAAATATTTTATTAGTTAACAATCTTGAAATGCAGCTTTACAGTAGAAACCTATGCTCCTTCACATCTATGCATCACATACTATCATCATTTTTGCAGGACCTAATTACATCTTCCCTAATTACAATTTCTTTAACTACATTAAAAAAAAACAACCTAGATTTCAGGACTTTTTGGATATCCAATTATCAAGACATATTTTCATATCCAGATTTTGTATTTTCTAAATTTATATGGCAATTATTCATAAAATTGTCTTGCAGAACATTCCCATTTAAATCCTCGTCTCTTATGAAAATTGGACAGCATCTTTAAGAGTGTAAGTGAAGCAACATACAAGTGACACTATTAACCTCAGAATAGATATCATGTGTTAGATATCAAGAGAGACAAAAATCTTAAAAAAAATCCCTTTAGATTTATATGAATTTACAATTTGAAAGGAGAAACAATAAATAAATGTTAATGTAAATCACATATGAAACACAGTTTGCATGCAAAGATAAGTATAAAATCAACTCACACACACCTAAAGAAGGAAAAACTGCTATAGACAAATTCTCTTAACCAGATTTGAATAAATTATTTTGAGAAGAATAATGAAAAAACAAATTTTAAAAGATAAAAAGAGAAAAGGATATTCTTATGAAAGGCTGATAATTCAAAATGATCACTCATTAAAACCTTTTTGAGATAGCTGCATATAAGGCTCCTCAAACCCACTATTGAGTAGAATTATGAGGTTAGTTAAAGAGAATCCACAACTTCTTGGAAGTATTTGTGGTAAGTTAATTAAGAAACTGTCCAATCCTTGGTATTTGATAATTTCAAGATTAGTAGTTTAAAATCCAGGTCATCTTTAATATCTTATGCATTTTTAAAAATTTGTAATAGGCTTTATCAATTTTAGGACCTTAACAAATAAAGCATTTGTAGAATCTCAGCTATTTAACTAATACCTATTTATGTTATATAAATATATAGTGTATGGTATGCATGTCTCTCTGTGTGTGTGTTTAACAAGGACAACGAAAATGATCTGGTGATAATTCTGATGATAATAATCATAACAGCAACCACAAGTATGGATGAAGAGAACATTATTTAACAGATATTGTACAAACTTTTCTCAGTTTTCATACATTACCATCAACACTATATTAAAACATAAAAATGTCAGCTTGAAGAGGTTTAAGTAACCATCTATTTAAACACACAGTGGGGCATTGTTAGAGTGTCTATAAGGAGCTTGGTATTCTGATACCAAGCATCACCTTGGGTAACTTGTAGAACTTACTCCCACTCACACATTTCCTGAGACTCAAATATAATTGTTCTAAAATGGGCATGTGTAATGGAGTTTAAGATCCCCAGAACATCAGAATGTTCAGTCAGAACCAACAATTGCTGGGAATTCAAGACTACACTGTGATAATTAAAATTATTTCAGATAGCATTATATTTAACAAAATAAGGTAAAATACCACTGAGCACACTTCTAGAACAAAAAAAGAATATTAATCACTTTCTAAGTAAAAGCATTATAAGTATGCAATAATAGAACTGGAAGATTAAGAATAATTAGAGCCATTGATACAGCTAACTAGGTTTAGGCAGTGGACCTCAAGACTTATGGCCTGAGTTAGATCCTTGGGATGCACATGGTGAAAAGAGAACACCAATCCTTGAAAAACATCCTGATTTCCATGTGCATGTACTGGCATATGAAGGATAAAATGTGTGCACTTGCACACACAGAAACATACCAAACAAACAAACAAATAAGAAACTGAAAGGCATCATTTCTCTAATCCTACCTCAATCTTGGTTAGTCCTAGGAGAGCAATGGCTACACGAATGGTACTGCTTTCCAGTGTGCCAGTGATAGCCCTTCGTTCATACTCAAGGGTTGACATCTGTTGCTGTGCTGCAAAAGCCAAAGCCTTTTCCTTGGCTTCATTAGTCAATGGTACCTTAAGGTCCATGTCAAGTATTTGATGAGGTTTGCAGTTCAGATACAGAACTGGATCTTCCTTACTATACTCTAGGAAGGTAAAAGTATTAATGAATGTAATGAACATTTTTTTTCCATCAGCAGTGTTATCTAGCATGGATTTGTGAGGTTAGAAACACAAAAGTGCAATTAGTTATGATATTCATTAAGCAGAGAAAAAGTAAATGGATAATACATTTCTGGCAATGCTAAATAACTGAATAAAGAATAAAGAATAAAACTTAAAAATTAAATATACTCTACTGATATTCTCTAAGGAAAGCTTTACCCAAAGGTGCTTTTTCAATATGCTCAAAAACTTAGTACACTGTGATCCTGATAAAGTAGTAATAGTAACCATTATTGGGAAAAAATAGGACAGATTCTCACATCCCTAATCCATTAAAGTGTGTTAGCCACAGAGGACACTTTCTTCTACATTTAATGATGTATGTACTTATCCCTTATCCACTTATTCTTATATATATATATATATATATATATATATATATATATATATACACACACATACAGCTGTCATAGGACATGTCCAGTGAAAAATTTGATCACAAGGTTAAAACCAAAAAAAATAGTGAATAAATAAATAAAAACTTTATCACCCATGGGAAGAGATTTCTTTAAACAATTGAACTATAAAAATCATACTCTCCATATGAACCTGATAAAATACAACACTCATTCTTGTCTCAGGTTGACAGGATCCTTCATTTCTCAGAACCATTGCCCACACTTTTCTCTCAGCCACTATTGTTTCCAATCAAAACTGTTGTCAGAGTTCATACTCAGTCTCAGTTTTCTATTTCTACAATTACTGAAATGAATTACAACAGACAATAAGGACAAGGTATGGGAAATGGAAATAAACACCAAAATGTTGTCCTTTAAGGACATGCATAAAATAAAACTAAGCTTCATTAATAACCAAATTTTTTAAGTGCTAGTAGTCAAGAATTAGAAATAAGCAGAGAAATATAGACTAAAAAAAATATTAAATATTTTTTTCAGAATGTAGAGATTTGATTTCAAGGCAGACATCAATAGGATTTATTCAGTAATATTTGGCATACTAAATTTTAATGTTATCTGAAAACTATAACCCTAGATTTATAAGGAAGTTTTCAATCACATTTTAACTAGTAAAATGGTGCTGTTTCATTGACACAAACATAATAGAATTAGAAGGAGGCTTTCCAAAATATGAATGCTTATTGGAGATAACTTCTATAAGGAAGTTTATATGACCATATAAAGAATAAGGCCATCTGTCTATATAATGAAGCACAACATGTATTAACATACCTTCTTCTAGAGAAGTACTGTAGTCAATTGGACTTGGAGGTTTCATTGGAAGGAAATTGGATGGCAAGGGGATCAAACCTTTTCCTTCTATAATATATATCAAATCTCCAATCTAAAACATAAGGATATAATGATGATAAATTTTTATAACTCATAAAACATACATTATAGTTATAACAAAAAAAAATCTATACACTTTATAGGAACTTTCCTGCATGCTTTTTTGAGCAACCTATAAACTAATTTATATGGGCAAAAGTAAAGTATATAGTACTAGATTAGCATCCTATAAATTTGGTATGAAATCAGATAAATCAAACTTAAAGTGGTAACCACATAATATAACTAACATTAAACACAGAAATCAACAGTAGGGGGCATGTTTGCATTGTTTGCCATCAAGCCTCAGGGAAGTTTAGTAGGTCTCTGAGTTTTAATTCCTTCTCTGTACAACTGGTGTCATTAGAAGCCTAGAGCACAAACGAAAACAAATGGAAGCAAGGGGCTTCGAAAAACACAATAGAAAACACAGAGAGAAAATCTTAGATCCTGATTCAACAAAAAAAGCATAAATTGAGAAAGCATAAATTGAGCAGAAAATTAGGGAATTTAAACACGGACTAGCTACTTGATGATATTAAAAAGAAGTTAAAATTTTTTTGGGTAAAATAGTGCACTGACGTTTTCAAAAATAGTGTAGTATGTAAGATAGTGTAGTATGAATAAAAGTATAGTGATTGTGACCTGCTTTATTAGATTTATGGAACTGTTTTGCCAAGTCATTGACAACAGGGGCAAAATAAAGAGATAATTAACTCTACCTTCTTCTCTACCATTGTAATATAGAGGAAATCAGCATATGCTATTTCATATTATGACTGATTTAATCCAAGATTTTTTTAAGAAGAAGGCAACTGAAAAGAAACAGGTAAAGGACAAAGTCTGTCCTGTTCATATACCTAAAAGCGAGATACTCATTTATGATGGGTTTCTTCCCTTTCTGTCTACCAGGAAGGAAAGAAGTTGATCAGGAAGTCTAATTAGATGCTTATTTGAATGCAGATGATTCTGGATTAATCTACACAACAAATTTCATTCATTTGGCTTCCTACATCATGCCCTATATAGACACTCATTCTCTTTTTTGTATGTTTTCAAGCTTTTAAAAATTTCACTTCCTAGCTGCCTCTTCCAATAAGCATGCTAAAAGGCATTTGTTAGTTTTATATTTTTAAGAACAATCTGTTCCTTCCCTTTAAGTGTATTTTGAATTTTCCTTAATAAAATTTTAATCATTGTATCAAACGAAATTTATTGACAGGATTTGAGAAAAATCACGTGAAAATAAATGTAACAAATATTTATTCTAAACATGGTAACAAGAAAGTTAATAAAATAAGGAAGATAAATATACAAGAAAAAAAGATATGTGCTAGTAGGCACAATGACAAAGCTCAAGCACTTGTGGAAAAGGCCTATTATGCCAGAGTAAGTGGCTGTAACCAAATGCAATACACTTAAGAGCTCTCAAAAGAAAAAAATTCCCCATCTAAGGTTACCAACTTCCTCATAAAAATGAGTTCAGTCAATGCTTTGTGGCTCCTAGAATGAGAATACAGCAGAATCCATTCCAGAAAATCAAATCAAATGCTAGCAACCCCAGTACAGACAGATCAATGTGTTAGGTTACTGCTGTGATATGTAATGTTTGTATGCTGGTTGTTTTCTCAACTTAAGAAGATGAAACTCCTCAAGGATTGAGTTCTGATTCTGGCATAGTTTCCATTTTAATATTTCCAATTTCATGTTATAATCTCAAAGTTCTTCGGACTTCTGTCATCTAATAGCAGGGGCTTTAAGGACTGTTGTGAGTCTGCTTATAAGCTGAAAATTTTTATGAACACAGATGAAAGATTTTTACAAATATATCTATCTTCCAAGTTAAATAAATATTTCCTTTCTAACTTGAAAACTGAAGTAAAACACACCTAAGTAAAATAAATATATACTCCTGAAAACATTTTTGGTAGAAATGGTTTTATTTTATGATTGGACAACTAACAAATAGAGGCTTCATTACTTCAGTTTTTAGTAGGTGTTCTTAATTAGAAAGGGGTTATCACACATTTAATAATAATAGGAACAAATCACCGGTGCTTGCTTGCATGTATGATATATAGTTAATCATATAAGTGTATTTTAGAAATAATTAACAATATACTTGAGTATACAAATTAAAAACAACCATAATTCAATCAAATACTTTAAATTGTAGCACTCTTTCCAACAGGTAGCAATTTATTTCTAAGATTATTGTTTTATCTTAATGTTTTCTCTGGCAAGGATAAAATATATATATAATCAAATATGTGTTTTAATATGTGACGATGTCAAAACTAAGCTTGACTATATTTTAAGGAATATAGGTTCATTTTTGTAAGTAGATAATATTCTTGTATCTACTGCAAGGAAGAAAACTGATTTGGTAACTCAAGTATTGAAAATTATTTTTTCTATAATTATAAATTAATTATAATAGGTACTTGAACAATCCATATAATCAATGGTAAATAATAACCAGTTATTTTCACACATTTTTATATAGAAACAAATGTAGTCAAATCCTAAATATTTTGTTTCCATTGGTGAGAAATAAATGCAAGGACTTGTAAATGCTGCACAAGCCCTCTACTACTACACTACAATTCTAGGCACTGAATAAGATAAAACCAGTGAGTTTTATAATGTACTCTTTCTCAGTGGTGATTTTAGATGCAAAATTAAAGTACATCTTATAGTTAACAGAATATACTATTTTTCACATGCAATTAATTCTATAGATACTAGGTAAGTATTATCTCCTAATATCAACACACATGATATACATGGATGTGTGGCTATATAGTCTGAGAATCCTAAATTTCCTCCTCAGATCATTACCTAACAGCCAATCCCTCATAGTTATTCTTCTGTATCTTCTCCTTCTCCACACCCATTCTAAACTGTTCTTCCCTTTGTTGGTTTTAAGAATTAAGCTGCACAAATGCCAAAGGTACAAAGAAATGAATTCCATAAATATCTTGTGAGGCTGGCAGCAGACCTGTCCTCAGATGACACTCTAAGGAAATGCCTTCCATTGGTCAATTCTTTAACTGAAGATTTTATAAACATTAAGTCGGGAACTTAGCATGACAGGCCAGCTCTTTGACTCACAGAGACTGATATAAAGCCAGTTGTGATGGAACTTCCTCATGCAGCCATCATAAATTTACCTATAAGTAGTGAGAATCTTTTGGTATTCTTCAGAAAATGCTTCTTGCCTCAGTATTTGAGGACTAAAAGCATGATTGTTTCCAGAGTCCCAGTAGCTTTAAATTGCCTTTAATAGTTACTTCATAATGGCAGCAACCCATAGGTGGAAGAAGCACAGACAACAATTCTGTTCTTACCGATTCATTGCTCAGGATGACGGCACAATAGCGGATGTGCATATCAAAAGGAAGATAGTAGATCTCCAGGCTTGTAGAACCTTTTGCTCCCAAGAAAATTGTATGCATTGAACAGAAGAATTCTCTGATGAAGTTAGACTTAATTGCTAAGAATATATGACACAGAGAAATTGATAAATAATAAGTTTTATTCAAACAAACTATTGCTTCAATAAATAAAATCTAGGATTTATGAATTGTTGAAAATATTATAACATAAAATTAAAAGATAACATTCCAGGCCATGGTGGTGCATGCCATTAATTCCAGCACTCATGATCTCTGTAAGAGCCACCATGGTCTACAGAGCTAGTTCTAGCTCTAGGACAGACAAGTCTACATGAAGAAACCCTGTCTTGAAAAACCAAATAATAAAATAAATAAAATAAAGATAATACATAATTTTTAATAAGAAAATATTGGTGACCAGATATCAACCATGCTATTAAAAATCCCTTAATAAAGAATTTTATAAAAGGAGACCGCAGTAATATATAAATTTAATTCATATGTTGAAAGTGACTACTATATATACAAAGAACATTCACATTTTAATTGTTTTAAAATATTTTGACAGATTCTTCAAATTCTATTAAAATGTGATGATATAATAGTTATTTCATCTACACAAACACTGTGTTCTTGACTTCAACAGAAGTGAAGTACCATGAAATATCTGCCTAATGATTTCACTTTCTTTTAAAATCTACCGATTATTCTAGTAGAAGCCTGAAATACATGTAGATCCCACTCGTAAGATTTTAAGCTAATGGCCCCAGCTAAGATATGAGAGGGTTAAGGCAGCATTAAACATTGGCCACATGAATAAAATAGCTTTGAAATATCCCAGGTCCCAGCCTCCATCTGACAGTAATGCCTTGAGTTAGCATGAGATGAAATCATGCAGGTGAGCCCACTCAACCCGGAAACATAAGATGGAGTAGTTAGATCTGATTGTATGTTGCTGTGTCACTGCCACTGTAATTGTAATGGACCGTTCTGTAGCTATAGTTAAGAATACTTAGACAGTTTCCTATCCATCATTCTACCCATCTTTTAAAATATATTTTCCAAAACATATTCAAACTCTTAATAGTGTATGGTTATATATAATGTTCAAATGTTAGGCTTTTCAGCAACATAAGGATTTTCTTCTGAATGTTAAATTAATGTTCTTTGAAGCCACCATGTATAACTTTACCCCTCTTTTTGAGCCTTTTATTTACTTACTAATATTAAATGAAAAACTGTATTTATATAATACCAACCTTAATAATGCCTGATATATGAAAATGTTTAGAGTTCAATAAAATTCAAAAGCAACATAAAGTCCAGATGTTTAAACATGTTCCCTATATGCTAGTAGAAACAGATGTAGAGGTGAAAGAAAAGATGTGGGCACAGTCCTCAAAATAGTACTTAACAAAACAGGCAGAAAAACAACAAATCAATCTCCATCTAGTCAGAAATTTCTAGCAGTTTACATTCATCATCATAACCACCCTTGATGAATATTTCAGTTCATTTTCTTTTCACATAGAAATCAGATCCAAACCAGGTGTGGTGACACACATCTTTAATCCTAGCACCCAGGAGTCAGAGGTAGCAGGATCTCTGTGTATTTGTGGCCAAGCTGGTCTATAGAGCAAATTCCAGGACAGCCAGTGCTGTTACACATAGAAACCCATTCTTGAAAACAAACAAACAAAAAACAGATACAAGTTTTAAAAAAAAATCAAATAAACAAACCATAAAACTTTCACCAGGTACTCACAAGTTCGTAATCCATTTTCAGCATGGGAAGAACTCCGATCCGCATCATAGTCACCATTCATACTATGACTGTCGGAGGAAAGAACATCAACATTACACACTAAATATTTTTAAAATTCTATACTTTTATTAAAGATTGCAGATACTAAATTATTGCTATCTACAATATAACATGTGATATTTTCTTTAAAAAAACAATTAGAACAATTAAACATTCCCAATTTTCATATTTCTACCAATTCTTGGAGACAGATTGTCACTGTGTAGCCTTTAAGAGGTTGCAACTTGTTACATAATCAGGATGGTGTGTAATTCACTGATATCTGCCTCTCTATCATGAGTGCTAGGAGCAAAGGCCTGATTGCCTAAATGTCTAACATTATTTATAAATATTAGTGAAATTTTACTCTTTTTAATAGTGAGACAAAAATAGGATGCATTTCAGGGAAAAAAATAAATTGTCTTCAAATGTGGTTGCAGAACTAATTACCTTTCCACGGGTAAAACAATCTAATTATTTGCAGGTTTGCTCTATTTTTATAAATGTAAGACACATGGCAGTTTTAAAATTTCACTTGTCGTTAAGGAAATGACAGAGCAAGTCATAATCTGAGATAACTGTCTCTCTTTACAAGTATCATGTACTAAGGAATCATAAACCTCACCCATATTAGCTCTCTGTTATTATTTATGGTTATTTTGATCACTAAGCTATCAAGCAATATTTATAGTTTATAGATATACATCTAAATTTGACCCCTGCAAAAATACTAATTCTAAGTAAACTGATGATAAATACCTGTATTTCTTTTAATTCTGCTTGAATATTATGAATAACATATTCTTAATAACACATTCTTGTTGATGTTATTTTTCATTTTTATACTTATTCTGTACTTTAATTCTACAAATGCAAATATTGGAAGAAATTTCAAGTACTGGATCGTTTGTTAAAAAAGTAAAGAATCTTTAATATTTTGTATAATTTGAGCATGTTAAAAACACTTTAATTTTAAGACTGTCCTGGATAAAATAGCTAGATACTGTTCCATGTCAAATATAGGTCATACACACAGTGAAAATTATAATAAAGATTGTGGCATAAAATATATGGCTCCACTCTCATCTCTTTGATAATGGGCACAAAGCAGAATTACTGATTAAAACCCACAGATAACCTACAAGTTCATTTTGTTCAATATTTGCAATCTCTAGTCTTTCCATCATTTTTATAATAGTTTATAGAAAAAGTATATGGATCTGAGCTTCATATCCCTTTTCTTTGTGTATTTTGTCTGAGAAAATAATAAAAAAGTCCTTTGGAGAATTTGAAACTTGTCTCATCCACAAAGTATATTCCTATCTCAGATAAGTTAATATCCACATACTGCTTATGATAATGACAGAAAACATTGGGGATTTAGGAACCTTTCTCACATTCATATGAAGCAAATTATTATTATGATTATTTGAGAAATTGAAAAATAATTTAGCTAAAATTGTATTATACTTATGTTCATAAGTCTAGAAATTCATTAAAAATGACCAACATTTTATAATATTAGTGTCTTAGTAACCCAAAGTGAAAACAAACAGTATCTCACCTGCCATTTTGTTACTACTGGTAGCTTATCCTTTTCAAATTTTTATAGAGTATTTTGAAAACTTTCTAAATTTTTGGGAAAATAGCATCAGATAAACTGTTTAGAAATTCTCATTCAAACAATAATTCTCAATTCATTAGTGAATGAAGTAGGGGAATGAGAATTATTTTTGAAATATGGATGAATGAGATATTTTACTTTCCAGTACTAATATACAACTCTTCTCAATCTAGAATGGTTAAAATGTCATTGTGATGGTTATCTTCTGAGCTTCAAAATGTAACTCTAACAGTTTTATACATCCTACTTACAAGTGTTTTTGTATAAGAGTTGCCAAGATCTTTATCAGAATCTTCATTGCTTTGTTCTATTGCAAATGTCTAAGGTTCTATTTAAGCCAAGTAGCCAACAATGTTGTTCAAATCTAGTTTTTATGAATCATGAGATGGTATGAGAGGATCAAGTTTTGGATTCATGTTATTCTCAATATGTCTACGTTCCTTTAAAAACGGAGGGGACAGGGCACATGAAAATTCTATGAGGACAAGCCGCACAATTTTCTATAAACCATGAAATAAATGGTCACTATATATCTTCCAGCATCTTGATCATGGATTCTACAGTTTTCAGAACAGTGGGATACAGATATTAGTTGTGTAAGCCATCAAATCTATGGTATATTTGGTACAGGTGCCTTAATACACTAAAACATTTGTCCAACTCTATATGTTCCTAGTTTTCAGTGTAGCAGAATTATTTTTAAGTTATGAATTTCCACAATTCACTTTTTTTGAGTTTTTCAAAAGAACTAGGTCCTACAAAAGTCTCTAACACAGTCGTCACTTCATGGGTTCTCAAATCATGAAGCCTGCAATCTGCAGTGGAATATACTTTGTGATGAATAATTATGAATCAGAGTGCAAAATCCTTAATCCATATGCATCTCTGTTGCTCTTTTACTTTTATAAACCATCGGTAAAATTGTGCTATCATTTCTTCTTGCTTTGCCTTAAACATTGCTTCTGTATTTTCCCATTCTCCTGATGTTTATGTATAAAGGAAATGCTTCCCCCTTCTTTAGAATTTGTCCAGAAAGATATTACTTGTCATTTCCTTCTTTATTTCAGACCCCAAATTATATGTGGTAATAAAAAACAACAGACTATAGTCTATGACAGATGATCTCCAATACACTGGATGTTATCATTGCGTAAACAAGATCACAAGGTATTTCTTGACATAACATATACTAATGAATGCATTTTACTTTGTCAAAATGCTTCACTCATAGATATTTTTATTTTCTTTTCTACTTGTGGACTCATTACAGTAGAGTCACACATATAAAATGACTTATTCTTCATTTCCTAATTACTGACAACACTGCTTGAGGTGTCACTTATCAAAAAGCTGGTGAACACATAAACAACTCAGTATCTCTGAAAGAAAATGCAAACCATATTATTAAAAGAAATAACTGGAAATGTGCTTATTTCTGAGCAAACCCGTCTAATCTATTGATAAATCTCAAACTGTAGCTAAAGCCACTTAGAAAATATTAGCTAAACTTACTGTAGTAATCCTTATCTGGTAATTCCTTTGGATTTAATTAGAGTAAGAAATGCTTAGGGCTGGAGCTATGGCCTAGATCTAGGAACACTTGTTGTTTTCCTAGGACACACACACACACACACACACACACACACACACACACACACACACACACACTCACAGAGGAAAGCATCTTAATAGTTTTTTTTTTGTCATTTTTGTGGATCACATACACATAAGTAAAACAGTTTTATGATAGTTGTATTTTGAATGTTGTTCAATTTTGTTGTTGTTTGAAGCCACATGTATAAAACTTTCATTTTTAAAATTATCCATTGGAAGATGCTGTACCTTAAAATATACAGTGAATACCAGGCCAGCCAAAGGTAAATGCAAGGTTAAGTTTTAAGAAACAAAAACCCAAACAAATTGAACCTATAGGCAAAGTGTAAATGATTTTCTTAATTGGCTTGTATAGGTGTATTTATCTTATATATAACTAATACCAGAATATGTAACCCACAGTTTCTTTATGAAGAATTTCATTTTTATATTTTATGTGGTTAAAACCTTGAAAAAATTCCCCACTATTTCTTAAAGACATCAATTAAAAATAGCATAGACTTTTTCATGCAAAAGAAAACATTCTCTAAACAAGTTTCATATTCTCACATAACTTTCTCATTGGAGAAGTGCAACATTAGACCCTGGCTGGAAAAGATGAATGTCAAAACTCATTATAATTTCTAAAAAAATATTGTTTTTGACATTCTCATGAATAAATTGGTATTCTAGACTAGGATATTACTGAGACAAAATGACTATTTATATTGTAGGCTACATTAATTTTATAAGTTTTAGGTCTGCTACATCATGATTTTAATGCATTTTCTTAACATATTTGTGTCTGATAATTTTAGAAAAATATTGTTTTAACTATTTTCATCACAGGAGATTTAGAAAAAGAACTACAGAAATATGTTGAACAAAATGCAAATATGTGAATATGTGAAACAGAGAAATCAAAAACATAGAGAAACATGGCAGAAAACGTTTCTATCCTTTTTTTTTTTTTTTTTTTTTTTTTTTTTTTTTTATACGAGTGGATCACTATTTTGGTGAGTACTTAAATATCCTTTCTGGAAAACAATAAATTCATAAATTATTACATACTTCTCATTTCATTTTTTGTTTGAAATTTAGGAAAGACACATCAGAAAACATTGTGTCCTTACTGGCAACTTCACTGTTTATGACTGAGAGAATGCCACACCCTTTGATCAAACTAAGCACATTGAAAGCTACAAAAGAGCTGCAGAGTTGGCTCAGCCATTCAAGGTTAAAACTCCCCCCGAAAAAAGAACAACAACAAAAAAAGAAAACATATCAAATTTGTGATATAAAATGCCTATGATTTATTTCAAACAATGTAAATAAATTCAATTTTCCAGTTTTTTTAATTTTATTTTAAGTTTTTGGGTCATTTATGTTAAAATACTGCAACACTGAGAGGAAATCTGACTCCAAAATATCATTGTATAAGTTTTCACTGTTAATGTGAAAAATAAAGCCATTTAAGCAAAATCTGTGATGACAAAGAGTTTCTTATTAAAGCAAGAAACTTAAAAATATACACACATAGAATAATTTAATCAAATTTTTTAAAAGAGTTCTTGTGCATCATCTATAAAATAAAACATAAGATCCCCTAGACAAGTGCAAGCCATGTCAACCAGAAGAAAAGGTAGGCCAATGGCCCACATCTCCCACTGCCACTGTATGAGTATAAAATCAAAGCCACTTACTCAGAGATCACAGCAGCTTTTGAAGATTCAGTTACTTGTGATGGCAAATACATAAGTGTTGTGGATTCCACAAGAATGACACTGAAATGAATACAGAAAGAATTATTTCAATTTGTTATCTAAAAATTACAGATAACAACAACCAACTGTTCTTTTGTATTTTTCTCATCATCTTTAACTTATATTCAGAATGTAAATGATGTGTACTCATTCTGTAACTCAAAGGATATATTAGGGAAAAAGGAATGCCCTCAGACACAAATATGTGAAATATTTTTATGGAAAGACAATAAAAATAAAATATGAATAAACAGACTTGAAAGAGATAGAACCAATATTCAGGAGGAGTATAATATATTTTCAAATATGAATAAACAGACTTGAAAGAGATAGAACCAATATTCAGGAGGAGTATAATATATTTTCAAATATGTCCAGAATCCTTCATCGAAACTTACAAACATATATATTTTGATAAGTAATTGGCTAAAAGTGTCAGAGATCTCTCTGCCAAACATTATAGGCTTTTGCATTACATATAGAATATTAACAAAATTTATAAAAACAAACTAGGAAGAAATACTGTACTTGGCGTCTAAAATGGTTGAGACATTTGCTGAAGGGCTATACAGTAAATTATTTAGATGTGAAATTTATAAATTCACAAATAATTATTTCAGTACACTAAATTTTGTTTAATAAGTAAGTATATTATTGATAACAGACCTTTAAATCCTGAACATAGTGTGATTCAAAATATTTCAAATTAACAAATAATAAGTAATAAGTTATCAAATGTTGGAAACAATACATTTTATATAATATTGACACTTTGTGTCCCAATACATATATTGCATGAGTTTGATCTCAGGATTTAATATATTTTAGAAAGAAACTGATTTTCCTCTTTTTTTTTTTTTAGCAGATATCAGTTACAAATAATATCTTGGTTAGAGATGAAATTTTGTGTTCAATTCTACTTAATCTCTGTACCAAGATTTTGTCTGGCTTGGACTTACACAGGCATTACTATGACAGTTCATAAGAATATAAAGAATATAAGCACATTCAATTTCTCCTCAGAAGAATCATGCTGAATATAGTGAACTGCAATAAATTTACACTAAAACAATAACTTACCGAAAATCTCCACCCATTGAAAAGGGGTTTTTCACATTCACAGAGACTTCTTTCCATTGATAACATGGAGCTTTGCATTTTAGAATATCCTAAAGTAAACAAGTCATAATATATAATAATGTCAAAACTCAAAATATCTTTAACTTTAAATGCAACCCCCAAAACTACTGTCTATTTGATTAGCACAATAATTAGTAAAATTATTTCCTCCAAAAACATTTTAATATAAAAATTCAGATAGGGTAAAAGTAATTTATGTTAGACTTAAACACAATAGTGTGCTAATAATTTGATTTGAAAATGTCTTAAATTTATCTTTTTAAAACTGATTTTATAAATGAACTGATGATTTCAGGAATAATGATTTCTATCTACAGATAATATGCATACATATATTGCACATAATATACATATATTATTTGTATGTAATATATGCTATTATATATATATATATATATTGTATCTACCTATGCCAAAAAGAGTTATGAGTATGCATCTTTGTAAACTGTGTATACTGACTTGTCCATCTTCATATTGGGGAGGTTATAATGATGTGCTTTCAATGAAATCACAGATATAAAATACAAATTTGAATTAATTCTTGATGGGAGATGTCATTCTGTATATGTTTCTCATACTGGTTAATAAATAAAGCACTGTTGGCCAATAGGAAAGGAAGATAGGAGGGACTAGGAGACAAGGAGGAAATAGGATGTAGGGAGGAGGAGTCAGCGTGGAAAGCCTGGAGAGAACAGAACTGCCATTCCTCTGCTCTCGGTAAGACTACGTGAAAATACATAGAAATGGGTAAATAATTAAGATAGAGCTAGCCGATAAGAAACTAGTAAATGGCCAACAGGATTATATCAAATACAGAGTCTCTGTGCATTATTTGGGGCTGGCGCGGTGGCGGGACAAGACCAGCAGCGGCAGGAGGAAAAACCCATACACCTTACAAATTCTGTATGGAAAAATTTCTAGAAATTTTACACTTAAATATTTTCTCCATTATAATATAATCTACTACCTTATTGAGATTAATGATGTGATAAAATAAACCATCTGACTGAATTACTTGTAACCAAGTAATATATTGTTTCAAAGAATGTATGTGAAAGTGTTAAGAGATGTGAAGTATTCATTATTAAAGAAGAAACAGGAAGAACACAACATATCATAGTGAGAAATATGTATCTTTTGTTTAGGCATCACTGTCTGGTAAGTCTGTCCATGTGAGCTTTTCGGTGCTCTTTTCTAGTATCTGGTTACCACTTCTAGGTTCATTCTTTATATTTTATACTCTGGCCTTACATACTCAAAAGTTTTTTTTTTTTTTTTTTTTTTTTTTTTTGGTTTGGTTGGTTTTAATATACACAAAAACCTAGCAGTAACAAATTTTCTTCACTATTTATCCATGGCAGCAAATAATCTTTAAACAAAGTGTTTATAAAAGACTTCTGATGTGTTTTCCCTATCTTTTGAGATAGTAAAATGTAGAATTCAGTCAAATACATAATATTCAATAAATGTAGTATTGGCATGAGCTTGATAATTGATTGGATCTACAAAACACTCAAGATAAACTGATAAATGCCCAGTTAGAAAGATTATTGAGCATGAAAAGGTGCTTGCTGATAAGCCTTTTAACCTCTGTTCAATCTGCATGATCGATAAAGGAGAGAACTATCACCTGCAAGCTGTCTTCTGACTTCCATCATGCCATGAACACACACACACTAACATAGATGTGCAAGTATTCACATGTATATGCACATGCACATCACACACACACAAAATAAATAAATAAATAAATAAATAAATAAATAAATAAATAAATAAATAAATAAATATATTAAAATTACTGGGAAACCAGAATTGGTCCAATTCAGATGCCCTGAGCATGAGTCTCAGTTAGAAGGCCTGGGCAGTCTAAGGGACCTCTGACATTGGAAACAGGATGTATCCCATGCAAGAATGGACTTTGGAAGAACATTCCCCATGACGTGATACTCCCTTATCCTAGAGGCAGGAGGGAGGAGTTTATAGATTTTGTTGATCTCGCCTGGAAGGCATCATCCTACATGTGGAGAGGTGGGGGGAATGGGATGAGAGGGTGGTCAGAGAGCATGGGAGGGTGGTATAGAGGGAGGGAGGGACAGAGAGGGAACTGGGATCGATATGTAAAATAAGAAAAAAAACTGACAAATATCTATAGCTAAAAACTATTTGTTGAATCAACTCAGAACTTTCATCCATCATAACAAAACCATAAATTACGAAGTTTAATGGCAAAGAAATAACCTAGAGGAATAAGAGCTTAACAGAAAAAATTAGGTAAGAATAATCATGGTGTGACATTACAGGAACTGGGGGACAGCAGCAAAAGTACACAAAAAATAGTTTCCTTACAATTGCTTTAAAATTTAGTACTTCTCCTTTCAGAGCAAAAGCCATCGTACTGCCTCCTACTCCGGCCTTAGGTTTTGATATCAATAATAGTGTAGCTTCAGCAGGATGGAGGAACCGACTTAAAAATTTCACAATGAGGACAATTTGGTTTCTGTTTAATAAAAAAAAATAAGAGGAAACTATATATAAATAAAAGACAATTAAAATATATATTAGGTACAGATCAAATTTAGTACCTGTAACCTTAACTGTATTCATTTTAACAAAACATTAAACAACATTGAAACACAAAGCCATCTGTATAATCTAAATGTATCTATCAACCATATATACAATATACCATATATTGGATCTTCAATCAAGACATAATATGAAACAATGCACACTTTGTATGAAGTTATGAGTAAGTTTTTGTCCTTAAAATCTTAGCTTTTTCTTTTTATCTAGGTTATATGAACAAAAACAATAAAACAAAAAATTTTTAACAAAAACTTCTGAATTAAAATTATACCTCAAGCTAAGGTTGTAAACTGCAATCTGATAATGAAAAAAGCAGTAGTATGTTATGTACTTGACAAAAAAATCAATTAAAAGGTGAAATAAAGTAAATATATCCATGTGGTTTAGTTTTCTACATGTCACACACATATGATACAAAATGGTAGTCTACAACTGCAGACAAGATTCAATCACCTACTTATAGAAAAAAATCTGATATTGGAACACATTTTGACAGCTAAAGTGCAATAACCCTTGAGAGGAAGCATGCAGTCCTTTTTGAAATGAATTGGAGGCTTATGAAGCATAAGAACATTTCTTGGAAGCTATCCCAGCCTCATGGTTCGTGATGAGCTCAGAGACTTGCTAACTCATGCTCATGTACATGTATTCATTTATATGTCATAATTAGGATTATATGGACACACCTACACACCCACACACTATATATATATATATATATATATATATATATATATATATGTACTATCTATAGCGCACAATAACTACGAGACGATAAAGAAATATAATGACATCAGTGCCTTCTGAAAGGAGAATCATAAAATTTGTACACATTTTTCTTTATTCTTCCATACCTTCTACATTTCAATCATGACCCCATCTTGCTATAATAATCAGAAACTACACATAATGGAACATGTATTATTAAAAAACTATTTATACTGTTACTGTGCAATAGTTGGATTTCTTTCATGAAACACACTTGTGCTTTTTAAACAAAGAATTTATGTTAAAATGATGGCTTATATGCATGCAAATTAAAAATAATCATTAAATACATGCATAAAATTTTCTGCTTTGTATTGTTAGAACTGTTTTGACAAAATTAAAAAGGAATCACAGAATCATAAATATGTTATTTCTGAGTTTATGTTTTTCTTTATATACTTATCGATTTAGAAAAATTAAGTCACATTTTAATACTTATTATAAACATTAAATGTCTAGGTTTGACAAGTTAAATAAGTTAGAATATTTTGAAACCACTCACTTTGGGGAAATTGTTACAACATTCCCAGTTTGGGCAAGAGAGAAGTCAGCAGAATCTCTTCCAACAATTGTAGCTGTGTACACTAAATTTTTCAAGCTTGGGTTTTTCACTAATATCTATGTAGACAGAGAAAGTGGTACAAAGAAGATTAAAACTACTTCTTAGTTTTAACACAGAAAGTTAGACATTCTGCACACTAACGTACTCAGCTTAATGTAACCTATATTAATGGGAAAGTATAAAAAAGTATTGTTATTCCCATGCATGTTGGACAGCGCATTGCTACATATCCCAGGATGGCTTGGAAATTATTCTCTTCCAGTTTCAGCCTATCAAGTGATTAAACGATAGGCATGAATTACCTCCTAAACTACAGACTGTAGTGAGATAGTCTGTCTATGGCACTGACCACGCCCATTGGGGGTGGAGCCATGGGCGGAGTGACCTGTGGAAGGAGGTCCAAGGAAGAGCTGGGGAATGCTCTCTTGCTGGCGCCAGCAAGTGCTCATCTGCCAGGTGACATTGATGTAGAAAATGCAGTTACAAATCTTATATTTCAAATACTGAAGCTGCTGTTTGTTCTACCCTTAATCACCTTCAGCTGATTACAAACTTACACAACAAAACATCAAACAGAGTTAATTAATTCTTCTTTGGTTGGCCTGAGATTGTTTTATTTTTTTGTCAACAATGCACATTTCTTCTTTGGCAGAACATTGTTTTTATACTCATTTAACTCAAAATAATACACTCTCTCCATATTGGCTAGCTATCATAGTTTGAGTTGCATTAAGAATTCAGGAAAAGAAAAGGCATTAACAGCCTCACCTGTTTGTGCAAGAAAAGAGTGAATGAAGATATGTATGACACTACAAGTTTCTAAGAATAAGTGATGGATAACTATAGAACCCTAGAAATATATACTAAATCACAGGAAACCATGAATAAGAGGGAACAGAAAAGAATGTAAAAGATTGGTGGTATGGAGAAGGACTGTGTGATGTCATATTCTGGGCAAACTACAATCTCTCTGATTATAACTGGCAGCAGCTGTGGATACCTGTATTGTGTATACCACTAGAATGGATTAATTTATCATTTTAAATAAATCCTATATAATTTTGTATTACAGTTTAAGCACGTGACATGGTTATGTGTCTTAAATAACATGCAAGATTAAGGAAAGTAAAGACATGGTAGGTGGAAATTTGACAAAAGTTATTATTGAGTTAGAATGAGGAATCATAACTATGAATCAACAGCCCATAACATGTATAGTACCTGTAAATCATAAAGAAAATGATAAAGATCTGGACAAAGAAAAATTAACCATGTTTAATAAAAATTTTGGTAACTACCAGAATAAGTGTACTAATATTAATTATTCCTATATTTAGTTTTCCCTAAAGATTGAAGGATAAAAGATAAACTCAAAAAAATCAGTAGCTCTACAATTTTCAGACGAAAAAAGAGACAGAGAAAGAAATTAGAGAAACAACACCCTTTACAATAGCCACAAAAACATAAAGTATCTTGGGGTAACACTTACCAAAGAAATAAAAGACCCATATCATAAGAACATTGTGGCTCTAAAGAAAGAAATTAAAGAAGATACCAGAAAATGGAAAGATCTCCCATACTCTTGGATAGGTAGGATGAACATAGTGAAAATAGCAATCTTGCCGAAAGCAATCTACAGATTCCATGCAATCCCGCTTAAAATCCCACTACAACTCTTTACTGACATTGAAAGGATAATAATCAACTTTATATGGAAAAACAAAAGACCCAGGATAGCCAAAACAACCCTATACAATAAAAGAACTTCAGGAGGACATCACCATTCCTGACTATAAGCTCTACTACAGAGCTAGAGTTCTGAAAACAGCCTGGCATTGGCATGAAAATAGACAAGTAGATCAATGCAATCAAATTGAAAATCCTGATATTATCCCACACACATATGAACAACTGGTTTTTGACAAAACAGCTAAAATTATACAATGGGGCAAGGACAGAATATTCAACAAATGGAGCTGGCACAATTGGATGAGGGTTTGGAGAGGACTGCAGATAGAACAATGCCTGTCGCCATGCACAAAACTCAAGTCCAAATGGATCAAAGACTTCAACATCAATCCAGCCACATTGAACCTCTTAGAAGAGAAAATAGGAGGTACCCTTGAACAAATTGTTATAGGAGACTGCTTCCTGAACATAACTCCAGGGGTACACTGAGAGAAACAATTAATAAATGGGGCCTCTTCAAACTTAGAAGCTTCTGTAAGGCAAAGGACACAGTCGACAAGACCAAACAGCAGTCCACAGACTTGGAAAAGATTTTCACCAATCCTATATCTGACAAAGGGCTGATCTCCGAAATATACAAAGAACTCAAGAAACTAGTCAACAAAACACCAAATAACCTTATTAAAAAATGGGGTACAGATCTGAAGAAAGAATTCTCAATAGAGGAAATCAAAAAGGCTGAAAGACACTTAAGAAAGTGATCCACATCCTTAGCTATCAGGGAAATGCAAATGGAAACAACTTTGAGATACCATCTTACTCCTGCCAGAATGGATAAAATTAGAAACACCAATTATGACTCATGTTGGAGAGGATGAGGAGAAAGAGGAATACTCCTTCACTGTTGTTGTGAGTGCAAACTCATACAGCCATTTTGGAGATGAGTATGGTGGTTCCTCAGGAAAATGGGAATTAGTTTACCACAGGTCCCAGCAATTCCCCCCTTAGACATATACCCAAAGGATCCACATCCATGCAACAAAGCCATCTGTTCATCTATGTTCATAGCAGCACTATTTGTAATAGCAAGAACCTGGAAGCAACCTATATGACCCTCAATTGAAGAATGGTTAATGAAGATGTGGCACATCTAAACAATGGAATACTACTCTGCAGAAAAAAAAAAAATATGGTATCTTAAAATTCGCAGGCAAGTGGACGGCACTTGAAGAAACCATCCTGAATGAGGTAACCTAGTCACAAATAGAGGAACATAGTATGTACTCACTCGTATATGGATTTTAGACATAGAGCAAAAGATCAACACCCATAATTCACACAACCAGAGGATCTAGGGTACAAGGTGTATTCTTCTCACAGAAGAGGGAAGAAGGGACAAGTCCCCCAGAGCACACGGGGAGTGGGTGGGAGCGAATGGAGAGAGAAGTAGGAGAAAACAAAGGGGAGGAAAGTAAAACACGTGCGAACAGGAACATTGAGCGGGGTTAGGAATAGAAGACAGGAGAGAGAGAGAGAGAGAGAGAGAGAGAGAGAGACAGAGAGACAGAGAGACAGAGAGACAGAGAGAGAGAGAGAGAACATAAAAGAGGAAGCCAATATTGGTTTGAAGATAAAATTGAACACAAAGAAAGATGTAGAGAACTACAATACTGCTGCCAACTAACAATTTGAACTTCCATGGAAAGGCTACCATAAATGGCCTTCCTAAATAGTGAGATCAACAACTAACTTATCCATGGAGCCCTCATTTAATACCTATTGGAAACAGGAGCAAACACCCATACAGAAACACTGAGTCGAACTAGAACCCAGATGCAGATGGAGAGGACAAGACCAGGTTGCAGAAACACCTAGAGACAGCTTACCTGAACAAGGAGGAGCTAACTGGCCCCCAGACTGATAGCTGGGAAGCCAGCATGGGACAGACTCAGGCCCCCCTGAATATAGGTCTCAGCCAGAAGGACTGAGCAGTCTAAGGGACCTCAGGCAGTGGAGCCAGGATGTATCCCTGGTGCACAAAAAGACTTTGCAAACACATCCCCCATGGAGGGATAACTGCCTTAATCTAGAGACAGGAGAGAAGCCCTAGTCCCTACTTCACATGACCTGTCAGACCTACATGACCCTAACTGGATGGCATTCCCCTACATATGGAATTGGGGTGGGGGGATGGGAAGGGAGGATGGTTAGAGTGCCTGTGAGAGGGCAGAGAATGTAAAAGGGAGGGAGGGAGGGAAGAAGACAGGGAAGGAGGGAGGAAGAGGGAACTGGGATCGACATGTAAAATAATCAATTAAATAAAAAAATGCTTTAACTTCAAATTTTAAGTTCAAGCACATGTTACTGGGGAAAAGTATTTCTATTTTTGTTTCCACAAAAATGAAAATCTGTGGATTCCTTCCAATCTAATGTGGTTTGATCAAGCCAGACCACCTGAAACAGAGTACCAGGTGATCCTACATTCAAAGTAGGTGGACAAAGCAACCTTACAGACTATAGCCAGGATTCCTGAATCTTCTTAGAATCCCCCATGACAGCGCCCCTTACCAGCAAGAAGTAGTTTGGAAAGAAAGACGCCCAAATTCCAAAATATTGTCTATAAAAGTTTGTTTTCATTTAAATGGACTTGGTTATATACAGTAAATAAATAAATAAAAATTAAAAATATTTAAGGACCCATTTTGTTTAACAACATACAGATAATATTTATTACTTAGATAATATTCATAACTTAAGAAAATTTTGGTGCTGTATTTCATAATATATAAATACACACACACACATATATATACATATATATATATATATATATATATATATATGCATTCACGTACATACATATGTTTATTTCATGGATTAGTGTACCAAATGGTTTTTTGTCTCAGCAAATTAAATAACATTGTATTTTAAGAAAAATCTTTGATGGACACAGTAGAATCCTTATGAACTGTTTCTGTTTTATAGTTCTGTAAGTTCCATAGCTAGCCCTGAAAGTGAATCCTGAAAAATGGCTTCAGTATTTCTCAATAGATATGCCACAAAAGTGTTTTGACCAATTTGTTATCATAATGTTCTTTTCAATTTTATCTTTAGTTTGTTTAAACACAATCTTAAATATCACGTGAATAATTAAAGAAAATGACTACAATTTGCTTTCCCAATGAACACTGCATTATTTACTACTTTCAACATTCTCTAATGTATACATAAATAGAACTTGTATTTAAATTTCTATAAAAGCCATTCAAAGACCTTTAAATATTTAGGGCTCTGGATGGCTTAGTGGAGACTGTCCAAAAGTCCTCTTACCTGTCCCAGCACAACATCATACAAAGTACAGGAGAATGGTACCACCTTTTTGGGGAGGTATGTAGGTAGCCTTTCATACATGTAGACACAGAGCATTAGCATCAGTACTGGGTTTGGATCACAAATGTCAATGGCCTAGATATACAGGAGAAAGATATAAGTTATAGGATGCACAGATAAAACACACAGAATAGATGATCTATAATAGTTACTGAATTACTTCTAAATATTCAAAACTGTTTCTGGTCAGGAATGGAAAGAAAATTTAGTTATAAAAACAGAATAGTATTCCTAGTAGGAAGCATCTGACATATTAAAGAAAGAGTTAAGACATAATCAGAAAGCTGACCTCATAGTTTCAAAGATAGCATGAAAAAGAGATCTAAAGCTCACAAGAATATCCTATCATAGAAATGGTGATTAATGTGAACAAACTGTTGATTTAAAATACTAAATAATGTAGTAAAAGAAATGACACACACATATATATGTAATATATATTACATATATATGATATATATATGTGTGTGTATATATATATATATATATATATATATATATAATCATAGCAAGGACCCATGGTAGATAAGTGGCCCATGAAATGAATCTTATAAAATCTTTTGACTTTAAGTATGTTTTGTCTAGTATGAAGGAGACACATTCTAACAGAATGGAAAACAATAATTTATAGTGAAGGTATAAAGAAGTGTACATGGTACATATACTTGTTCATGTGCACGCGCACGCGCGAGCACACACACACCAAAACACATACAAAACAAACAACAAAAAATATGGTTCTGAATGCCAGGGGGGTATGATAAATGAACAAGGCCTAATAAGAGAAGAAACAAAAAATTGAGGCAGACAAGTACATTAGGTAAGAGCAGTTTGAGAAATTACTTCATCCAGAAGAAACAAAAGCAACTAATTTTGAAAATGTAACTATCCTGATAAACAGGTTAATTTGTTATGGCTATCTGAACTGATCAGAAATAAAATTCCAAAATTACAGAGCTATAATAAAGATAATAAACAGTTAATACACAAGTGAAAGCAAAAAACAAAACAAAACAACAACAACAAAAAAAAAACAACTAGAATTGGAAAGAGAATAAGGAAGAATTTCATTTATTTATTCTTTTTATTCTTTCAGGGAAAAGGCAAAACATTATGAAAGTCTATAGTAATATTGGGATTGGTAAGAGGCAGAGACACTTATTTCGTGACTTAGTCATTTTCAGTAAACATGACCCTCTGTACTTACATGGAAATTGAGATGTAGATCTGCTGTGACTCAGCACAAATTCATGTTAGCAAATAAAAATTTTTTGCAGGCACCATGGCAGTAAAAGTGGCACAAATCAACATCTAACATACATACTCTTCTTCTTTTGAAGAAAAACAAAGGTTGTTCTTTTATAAATTACAAGTATTTGCTAATGAGAGGATGAAGGTTTATGGTGTGAATGAAAATTCCTGGAAAGAAGCAGTGTCTGCAGACATTTAGAATTTGTTGATTATTTAGAATGTCGGTAGTGTGGCAAGTCCAGAGGCCAGTTATCTTATTTTAGGACAAGTTGTTCTCTAGATTCCTTATAGACCATTTTGCCAGAATTAACATCTTGTGACTTATAGGCAGAGACCTTCTTGAATGTGTTAACCTAGCAGACCACTTGTTTCCACCAATGTCAAATTTAGACATTATCTTAGGCCTACAGAAAAGCTTCACCCATCTCACTGTATCTGGCATTCAAATGTCTTTGTTTATGACTTTCTTTACTCAGGAGAACTGTAAAACTTCATAAAAATTGCTCTCATAATGGAATACAGGATTGGAGCAACCTAAATATGGGCCATGACCATAATTATTCCAAGAGCATAACTGTTAGAAAACCTGGAAATTCATGAGGATCCCAAAGTTTCCCATTGCTTTTGTTGAACATAATTTTATAGTTGCAATTGTTATAGTAATAGAGAATGGATACAGAAAAAAAAGAAGTTAACAATCTAAAGTAAAAACAAGTAGAGAATTTAATTCTTACATTCATTTTTAAACTTTAAAAAAGGCAAATTTTAAAAAGATCTCAGCTTGACATGCATATTAGGGAAGCCTGTGATTTGAACTTAATGGAGTTACCTAGTAAGAGCAGGGATGTGCTTGTTAGATAAATGAGAAACAATAGCAGATCTCGATGCCATACTCAAGTCTGGTGTAAACAAATGTCTTTCAAAACCTATTTCATTTTTAATAACATTAAAATATATAGGTATAAATATGGAAGTTATTCTTTAACACACGTAATAGAATGGAAATCTACAAATTTAGTGAATGGAAATGTTTAAATGAATGGGAAAACAGGTAATAAGATATTATTTTTAAAAAATAGAATTGTGATTAGCTCCCCCTCAACAGACACATCTAAATTACAGCTCCTGTATATGTGGCTCCAGGGATAAACCAGAAGAGAGAGCAGAATATCAGAAGCCTGTTTTTAAAAAGTGTCTCTAGTAAATGGCCACAAAACAAGACTAGAATAATAGCAATATCAAAGGAAATTCAGATATCTTAGTATTAAAGGTTTGGTTACTTGCATGGTACTACTAGAAAATAGGAAAATAAGAGAACTTTGAAAAATAAAGATTTGTAGAAGGCCATCAGAAAATGGGAATAGGTCATAACGTAAAAAGAGATTATATGATCATAGTACCTTCTTTTCTTCTTATGACCCCCAGGTAAGAGAATAAACATTTGTTCTACTGTATGTGTCCATTATGACATACTGCCCTTTTTAGAAAAAGGAGCCATTTGATTTTATACTGTAGGTTCCAGCAGCATGACTTTAAATAAACTCTTTCTCATTATAATTACCTCTTATCTCATTGCATTGATAATTGGTTGAATCATTAACAAGATTTTTTTTTTTTACAAAAGAGTAGCAAAATAAGTGGTGGTATTCAGATCTAGTTATTTAAATGAAGATCTTAGGTGAGAATATCAGCAAAAAAAATTGTTATTCTTAGTGTGTATGCTTGAAACGATATCAGCATACTAAGAATGTCTGAATAACAATGAACCTGGATGACTTGGCTGAAATACTCAATATTTGGCTTTAGAATTTTTCTGCTTGAATTTATATTACTCAAAATGCTGAATTTTCTTATTTTAAAATAACTTTATCCTCCTCAGTTGTCTGAGATAATACTAGCATATCCTATACAACAAAAACAAGCTAAGTTTTAGTGACAAAGCTAGCTTAATTATTCATCCTTAGTGCATAATTAACTGATGAATTATATGCAAATTGCATACATCTAATTAGATCTGGCATGCATCCTATCTGACACTGATTTAAATATAATAATATTTATTTGTATTATATAAATCAGGTATAACTATGACACACATGCATATCATATGGTAGGACTTCACTAGAAGTCTGTCCAACAGATTCTTCAGGTGTAGCAAAAAAAATAAATAAAAGAAAAGAAAAATATAAGCATTAATAACAAACTCCAAGGCTTAATTTAATAGGATCAAAATGTGAATTAGCATAAGCACTCTTTTACTTATGGTTTCTATCACTGTGAAGACCATGACCACAGCAACTCTTATAATGGAAAACATTTAACTGGAACTAGCTTACATTTGAGAGGTTTAGATCATTTTCTTCATGTCAGGTGGCATAGAGGCAGACATGGTTCTAAAGATGTTCTACATCTTAATGCTCATGGTATCAGGTAATGAACTATCTTGTTACACTGGGTATAACTTAAGCATATATGACCCCAACTTGACTCCACAGTGACACACTTCCCCCAACAAGGCCTTACTTACTCTAACAAAGCCACACCCCCTAATACTACTACTATGGGACAAGAATTCAAACACACTTCTCTATGGGAAGTATACATATTCAAAGCACCACTATTCATGACCTGGTCATGATCAGCTTGTAGCCATACCATAATGGAAAAATTAATTCAGAACAACTTCAAAAGTTGCCATGGTCTATAACAGTATTAAACTCATTTACGTGCCTAAAATCCAAACTCTCTTCTGAGATACATGCTCTCACTTAACTGTAATCCCCTATAAGATCAAAAAGTAGGTGACATATTTCCAACATGGCACAGGGAGCATAGTCAGGAAATAGTGCACCAAAACAAGACCCAATAACAACTGTGCAAACTCCAAGCTTTACATCTCTATGTCTGATGTCGAAAAGGATCTTCAGATTTCCAACTTCTTTCAGCATTGTTGACTGAAAGATACTTTTTATTTTGAGCTGGTTCCTTTCCCTGTTGTGAGCTTTCCTCAGCAAGTATCCCACAAGTGTGGCATCTCTAACATCTTGGGATATCCAAGGCAATCCAGGCTTCAATTTTACAGCTTCTCATATGGCCTCTCTGGGCTTCTATGCAGGAACACCCGTGCCATATATCTGGACTAGGTGTTTTCCCATATGCACTGAGGAATACAATATTCCATGATACCTTTCTTCTAACCTTGACTTTAAAATCAATACTATGTGGCCAAATATTGCTGCTTGTTGAGGTTGGAACATGGCCTGCTTGTTCAATTACTTCTACACCAGCTTTCTGTTTTTGATGGTTTCCTTCAATGCCTAAATTTTGCTCTCCTGAAACTGGATCTGTAGACAATGCTGGCTCAAATTCAGAGATCCACCTGCCTCTGCAAACAGAATCCTGTGACTAAAGGCTTGTACCACCATGCCGGGGCCTAAGTTATTCCTTCACTTTTACAAGTTGAGTTGTTTACCTGCTTTGAGTAATGATTTAAGGTCACCACTCAGTTTATTCCATTTCCTAATCTGTTTATCTTATTGAACACAGAATTTATCTCCATTCCATTTTATGGTACCCCTTTCTCCTTAGTCTATACATTCTGTATTTTTCCTTGTTCAGCTTGCACCTTTTCATTATAAATCTTCATTAGCGTTAACACTAATAACTATAGTTAACAGTCAATATTAGGTTTTTTGGAGATTCCCTCCACCAATGGAATTAATCCAAAAACTTTACTTCTGCCTCAGACAAAATTTGTGCACAAGGGCAAAAAGCAGACACATACTTCAACAAAATATCACAAGACTGGTCTCTAGACCACACACTAACAGTCTTCTCCTCGAAATCCTGTTGAGCCAGGCCCCCACAGTTCAATTCACAATCACCATC